TAGAAACGTAGAAGTTAGATTGCTTTATCTTGTCTTAGAGGGGACTGACTCAACGACTCTCTTTTTTTAAAAAAAATTAAGCCTTTCTCTCTGTGCTTCACCGTGGATCATTTACATAAACCTGTCTTCCAGCTCACTGAATTTTTCGTCTATAGTGTAAAATCTGTTGTTAAGCCCACCCAGTGAATTTTTTTGTTTTAGGTAATTTTTACTTCTAGAATTTCCCTTTGGGCCTCTTGAAAGGTTTTTGTTCTTCTTGAGATGTACCATGTGTTCATTATTGTTACTATAGTTTTCTTGAAATCCCACAACATATTTATAATAGCTTTTTTAAAAGTGCATTATTTCCAACGTCTTTGCCATCACTTGGTCTGTCTCTGTTGACTGATTTGCTTCCTGGTTGGGTCACATTGTTCTACCTCCTAATGTGTCTAGCCATTTTCTTATTCTGTTGCAAACATTGCAGCCTCTACTCTTGAGATTCTTGATTCATCTGCTTTGAAAGAACTTTTCTCCCTTTCCTACTCTTTCCATTTGTTTTTGGATGGGAGACCATCGACTCTAGCCTAGCGCATTACCATTTGTGTAAAATGCAAATAAGCAACATGGTACAGATCTCTAAAGACTCCTGAATCACATGCGTGATGTACAGATCCTGGCATAGTGTAGATATTTAAAGACTCTTACTTATTTTGTAATTGGCATTGGATGAGTGAAATATAATTTTGTGTTGGAACTATGACCTGAATAGAGATAACAGTTCTCAAAAGGGCTCCTTATTTCTGGTTGAGCATCTCAAATTATTTGTGTATTTTTTCTCATCTGCCTTTTTTTTTAAATTTTTTTAGTTGTAGACGGACAGAATGTCTTTGTTTGTTTATTTATTTATTTTTTTAATGTGGTACTGAGGATGGAACCCAGGGCCTCACGCATGCTAGGCAAGAGCTCTGCCGCTGAGCCCCAGCCCCAGCCCTCTCATTTACTTTTAGATATGAGAAAAAAAATAATAGGATTCCCTGATGTCTAGCCCCTTCCACCACTGTGCCTTTCTTCTCAGGATTTTATAAAATGTCAAATATTTTCTCTTGGGCTCCTTAGCTTCAGTCTAATGACTATCTTTTAAATCTTGGCTTGTAAATCCCTACATTAAAAAAAATAAGAAAGACTCGGTCACATAAGCCAAATTTCTAAATTACATATCAGAGGGCGACTGAGTGCACAGGGCTGCAGAAATTTCCAAGTTGCTCTGCGAGATCTGATCCCGTCTCCGCTCAGGGAAGGCTCTGTTGCATTTCAGCGCAAAAACTCCCTTTCATCATATTTCTGTCTTTTGGGACGAGCAAAGGTATTGAACAAAAGTTACGTCTCTTATTTACAGTCCCTCCCCCCCAACCCTGTTCCTGAAACGAGCTGCCCAGAGGTTCACTTTGCCAAGTCAAATGCTCATTTCCTGGAAGATATTTCAGCACCCGACCCCCCCACCCCCCGCGCCTTACTATGCAGAACCCGTGGCCGTCAAGGTTCTTAATTACGAGAATCAATGGGGGAAGAAGGGCATACCTTTCTTCCTTTCAGAACTGGATCTTTTGGAGAACAGCCTCTGAAATATAGTCAATTTTGCTACCTCACAATAGAAGGAAAACCTTCACAGAGGAAGGGTCACGCTTTGGCAGAAAAATAGCAGTTCAGCCCGGAGACTCCTAGCAGGTTCACATCTGGCCTTTCTGGGGGTGTAATTAGGAGAAGGGAAGCAAGGTGCTCTCAGAGGTGGGTGGTGTCGTGCGGCAGCCTCCCTGTAATCGTGCCAGGAGGTCTGTGTCTGATGGTTGATCCTTGGGTAGCCGAGAAAGGTTCCATTGTGGCGTCAATCCAGATGGAGAAAAGGGAGGGAAACATCATACGTTTCCCGCGATCAAGCCCTGGGTTGGGTTTCAGCACAGTATAATTCCCTGAGCTCTCAATGCGTGCTCTTCAACTTGGCTCCCGTGGGAACAGCATTCCGGTCTCTCAGCCCTGGAATTCAAAGTCCACGGGTATGCTAGTGGGGGTGTTAACTCCGTACCACCCCCTGGGTTTTACGTGGAAGAATTCCCAGGGAGTCTGCCTTGAAGGAAAGTGTGGCCAGGCTGGGATGGTGCCCACTCTGCCCAGGACAGATCAGGTCGAAAATTCTGTGTGTGTGACGTTCATTACAGAGCCCTAGCATCCCATTAGGAATTCAGCGGAGCTGCCCAGCAGCCTCATGGCATGTAGGTCATGGACCACAATCCTGGTATTAGCTGACCGAGCGGAGACCTGGAGCAGGGAGCGACCAGCTCCCGGCCTGAGGAGTCGGTATTGTGAGGTGCAGATTTGGACCTCGTCTCCTGCTCTGAGGGTGGTGCCCTTCCTGACATCAGCCAAAGACTGATGGATGGAAATTTAGAGGAGGAGCTTTTCCCTTTGAAATGGAATAACAAATTGTCCTGGTCTGGGTCAGTATTCAATGAAATGATTCATTTCTTGAGAACAGGAATTCTAACCTTTTTTGCCATCTAGAATCACCCAGAGGACTTTACAAAGTACTGATGGCCAAGTTCCTCCTATGAAATCAGATACGGAGTGAATTGTTCTGGGGGGCAGCCTGAGCGGTGGGATTTCACGAGCTCCCAGGCTGCTCTGCCTGGGCCTGGGCCTGGCCATCCCTCCTTTCTGGCTATCATTCCCTTTTACCCCCTTACGGGAGGGGTTGGGAATCTTCTCTCGTTGAGCCGCACACCAGGATTGGGTCACAGGAAAGCCGGGGAAAGACTCAGTTAAAACTGAGTTTTCTGGAGTTGAGAGAGCATATACCATTCCCGTAATCAAGAGAAGCTGTGGATTTATTAAAACTTTTAGAAAAATACTGAAAACGTTCACTTTCTCCAGAGTCTCAGGTATACAGTGAGCTAAAGGAAAGGCACAGATGAGTCTGGGCCTTCAGGTAGTTAATGGAGCAGCACTGTCACGTGCCTGGGTCACTTCCTGCCACACAGATCCTGGAGGTAGGGAAACATTGCTTAGCTGTATAAATATTTGCTTGTCCCACCTAAATCTTTTTTGGGGGAAGCAGGCAGGACATAAACAGCTGAAATGAAAATATTTGCTTGTCCAGAAGTATATTTCCCAACAGGCCTTGCCCTCCCTCCTCTGGCGGCCTCTGGTGCTTTCCAGTTAACAGAGCGGCCTTTGCACGTTGCTCTCTGGGCTCACGGAGACCCTGCGGGCAGCAGGGCAGGCTGTTATCTATAAAATCGAACCTCTGACGGATGCTCAGGAGAAAAGGGATATTGAAGAGGTAAAAGAGCAGAACCCGCTCCCAGGTGTCGCGGCTCAGTGCGGCGGTGTGCTGGGATTTTTATATCACATTCGCTCTGCCAGGTGCTGACTGACAACCTGAGAATAGCGGACCTGGCTTGTTCAGATCAAATCTCTCCAGACCACTTCTGGTGGAAGCTGCAGGAAATGAGAACACGCTGTAGAATCACCAGAGTGTCTCTCCCAAGGCTTCAGGAGGGTCCCCCACAGAGCTCAGTGTCTGTGCAAGGAACCCGTGAATTCTCAGCCTTAGCCAACTTGCTCTCTTTCTCCGGTCTGTCCCAACTATTTATTTCTAGCAAATTCTTTGGCTGATGCAGCATGTAAAACATGTCCTATTGTCCTACATTGATTGCATCCCAAGCCTCCAGGGGTGGACCTTCAACCTCAGAGCACGCAGAGGTGGACTTCAGAGGAGAGATTTCCCTCTGCCGTTCAGCCCCACATTGAACCGAGCTTCCTCGGAGCTGCTGGCTGCAGGAAGCAGTGACGATCATGGAGCCTGGCAGATGGCTGTCGCTGTGGTTTCCTGGAGGCCTGTGTGGGAGACGATTGTTTGTATATTGGTTTTCATTTCTGTGTTGGTCTGATTTCTCATCTTCCTGAGGTACCCAGATGCTACAGTGATAGATTGATTGGAAGCGACTCATTTGTCAGGGTTCCGTGGGGGATGTGGGCTCCCTTCTCGTGTGCAGTGGAGTCTAAAATGTTTAATTAGATGCCAAGGCATTTCTGCCCGGCTCTGCCTCTGTCACTTCTCCCAGGTGGATGCCACTCCCTGAGCGAGAAAGGGACAGGGGGCTTTCTGGGCTCACTCACCTTTCCCGTCCCCACTCACTGCAGTCCTCACCTGCACCTCCTTTTAGTTGCTTTTGGTATGTGGCCCCCCCACCCCCCATCATTTCTGTCCTAGAAACCGCCTTCAGGTGGCTGCTGGAATTTGTAGAGCTGTTATGTGTCGGAAACCAGTTGCCAAACAGGTCCGAACCAGACCCGATGGAATAATGCGGTTACACTGAGAGGGACGTCCCCTCCCTGCCACTTCTGTTTTGTTCTGGGTCAACTTTTCCAGGGGACTGACTTGTTCTTATGTGTGGCAGGCAGTGCCCTAGTCGGGAGGATGTAAAGGGGAGGCTTCTGCCCTGCGGGGCTCTAGCGTCTCACTGGGGTGCTGAGGGCCACGCCAGGGAGGTGCCAGGTAAAGTGGGAAGGAGGACCGGGTGAGCCGGGGGCTTGGGGACAGAGGGGGATTCAGGGAAATGTGGTCCAGGCTGGGGTGGTGAAACTCCACCAGCCGAATGCGTGCGTGGGTGTGGGAGGTGACGGGTAGAATGGCCCACGCTCTACCTGGGGCAGGGTGACACCCGGAGTGGGGTCGGTGGGGCGTCCTGGGAGGGGAGATGAGTTTAATTCTAAACTTAATAAAAATGAGATGCTTATGGAATTTAGGTGGGATCATCTAGGGGGTGGCTGGCACGGGGGCTTGGGCTGGGTAGGGCCATGGTGCAGGTCTCCTATCTAGGAGTCATTGGGTGGCATGTCTGGGCTACAGGTTCAAGTGTGAGTCTGCTGAAGGAACACCTGGACTGGGAGGCAGAGGGGCCAGAGCCCCTGGGGACACCAGCGGTTTGGAGAGGGACCAGAGGTTGGGGAAGTGGGTGAGTCTGGAGGCGGAGACCGAGAGGCCGCTCTAGGTCAGCCTCTACTTTCCTTTGACTGGCTCTCTGCGCTTGGTGGCTGCCAAGCATCTTTCAGCCTCCCGAGGGGCCTGCCTGGTCTCTGCTCCTCACGCCTTTCCCAGCTGACCGAGGACAGTCTTCGCTGGCCACAGGCTCCTGAGCTTTCCTTCCTGGCTGCCTTTGTGGAGCAGAGTCACTTGCTAATAGTGTATCAGGAGTCACATGGGACTCTCCCAAGGACAGCCAAGTGCCCTCAGCCCTCTGCTTCTCACCCTGGGATGGTCACCTGACTGTCCTGCTGGCCCGTCGCCTGGCTTACCCCTGTCCTGGCTGAATGTGCAGAGCCAAGCCTCCCTTGCTATGTGGGAACAGGGCCAGCTGCGTCCCCAACCTGGCCGCACACTGAGGAACCCAAGGGCCTCTCCCTGGGGAGGAAGGAGGAGCCGCACCCGGGGGAAGGCAGATTCTGGCTTCTCGCTGTCCAGGAGAGGAAGACATGGTAAAGTTGGCGTCCCCAACCTGGCCGCAAGTAGGCAGTGGCCAGAATGATACCAGCACCGTCTCAGCTTGTGGCCGGAACCCTGCGCTTGAATGGCGCCTCCTCTGGAAACGAAGCCCCTCACGGTAGAATCAATAGGCAAAGTCCCTGCTGAAACTGCCACGGGGGGATGTCCCGGTACGCTTACACCCTGGCCGCCCTTCCTCAGTTTCTCCTGATGTCACTGTGATAGAAGCTGCCCAGCCTCCTGGGCCCAGTGTGGGTCTCAGAACAGGCCCTCGGCTGGGCACTTGTCTAAGGAAGTCCTCAGAGGTCTGCCACCAAAGCAGCCCGTCCTGCAGCACCCGGGTCTCCTGGCGTCTCCCGAGTTGCCCAAAGCATTCCGACTTTGTGTTCAGTGGCTTGGGCATCTTGAGGTCCGACTGTTAAGGTCTGCTCGTCCCCCGGGGTGCTAGGTGAGATGAGGACGGTGCTAGTCACTTGGGTTATCTCTGCAGAACAGAAGAGTGACTCAGTGGACACTGTGTTCTGCAGCTGCTGTTGGGCTGCCCGGCCTCCTCCTCCCTCCATGCCTGTCCCTGCAGGGTCTGTGCTGGCCGGGGACCTGGTGGCCGTCTCACCAGCTAGGCTGAAAAGCATCTGACTCGTACGTGCTGGTGGTGCGGCCCGAGCCAGTCCTGGACTTGGCTGCTCACAGCCAGCCCCTCCCCACAGTCCTGGTCTTTGCAGACCCCAGTGTGGCTTTAGCTAAGGCTGCAGCAGTGGCTGGTGGCATCAAGTACCTTAAAAACTGCTGGGAGAGGTGGCCTGGCTTGCTTTTTAAATACTCATGAAATCCATCACTTTGAAGTGTCCAATCCAGTGACATTAGTGCATTCACAGTGTTCGGTGACCATCAGTTTTGTCTAGATCCAGAACTTTTCCTTGGCCTCAATGGAAAGCCGGGACCCATTGGCAGTCCCGCCTACTCCCCCACCACAGCCCTGTCCGCCACTCATCTGCTTTGTGTCTGTGCGGATTTTTCTCTTCTGGTTTTTATAATAATAGATGGGGTCATGTTATATGTGGCCTCATGCTATGTCCAGGGTTCACCTGTGTTGTAGCGTGTCAGGGTTCTGTTTCTGTCGTGTCTGAATGACACTCCGCTGTGTGGAGGGGCCCTATTTTGAGCTCCTTCCATTGCTGAACATTTGGGCTATTTTCACCTTTGGGCTGTGAATAATCCCTTTGTGCGTGGCCTTGTGCGTGTTGGGGTGGACATCTGTTTTCAGTTCTTTTGGGTCCATGCCCAGGAGTGAGATTGCTGGGTCCCAGGGTGACTCTCTGTAGCCTATGGAGGAGCCGCCAGGCTGTTCTTCACAGAGGCCGGAGCATTTCACCTCCTCATCAGTGGCACACGAGGGGAGGTGGTGGCTTTTGCAGCCGTGCGTGCTAGCACTAACTTGATGCCACCAGCCACTGCTGCAGCCTTAGATAAAGCCACACTGGAGTCTGCAAAGCCCAGGACTGTGTGGCTAGCACTAAAGCAGTTACCTGGCGTGAGCCTCCATGGGAGGGTGGCTGGGACTTGTGGCCTAAGGAGTCTGCAGGGAGGGGACACAGGGTCTGAGAACTCAGCTGGAGTCAGAGAGTTGCTGAACAGTGCAGGGCCCAGTCCCCAGGTGCCTGAGCCCCCTCCAGTTTGGGGGGAGTGGGATGGGAAGGCAGGTGACCTGCATGGAGACGGCTTTGAGGTGGCTTGGACGGCGATCCAGGTGCTACCGTGGGTGTCGGGTGTTTGACCCTGAGCCCGGGTGGCAGCAGAGAGTCCTCCCCAGATGGAGGAGGAGAGCCCAGAGGGAGGAAAACGCCCACAGGGGTGAGGGTAGTTCACGGGGCTCCAGAATGGCGCTGCCGGGTCCTAACCCCATGCGAGGCCCTGCCCTGAAGCCAAGGCAGCTCGTTGTTCCCACGTGGGCCTCCGTGCAGAATTAAGTGCTCCAAACTACCCTTGAAGATCTCTCACTTGGTACAAAAGCCAAGATTTAGCTGCTCCTGTTTGCTTTTTATTGGAGACTTCTTTTCTTCTAGAAGCCAAGGTCTAGTTTGAGTGGAAAAGGAGTAATGGAGAATCCAGAGGTTTGGCACAGGGCTGAATCGCCTCTGTGTGCCCTGGGATTAGGGTGAGGGTTGGTGTGTGTTGGGGAGGACCTGACGGGCTGGCGGCAGAGCCTCCGGGTCTGAGAAGGGCTGCGGGGCTGTCCTCTTATCTATTGCTTGACTAGCTCCTGTGGAGACCGGGAGCCAGGCCACCAAGAACCCACAGCAGCCCCAGCTCCACACAGCGACGCCGGGGTGGGCATCTGTCAATGCACCAAGCTCTGGGAGCCCAGCCTGCACCTGGCAAAGGTCTCCTTGGAGGCACATGAGCCGAGTCACTGCCACCCCGTAAGCAGTATTAGAGTTTAGCAATGGTAGAGTTTAATGCTGATGCTTCTATATTCCCTGCCTCCTTGGAGCATCTGGTAATCAGGAAGCATATTCCCAGTTCACAGATTGAGGCTTAGAAAAAGAGTGGCTTTCAAAGTTCCCTGATGAGGCAGAGACAGAACTAGGACACACATCTGGGACTTCTGGCTCCAGATTCCGCATTCTTTCCGTTGTGCTTTACTTGGGGAAGCTCTCCGAGATCGGGGCTAACCTTCTCCTGCTCTCTCTGTTAGAGCAGGGGACAGGCTTGGGCTCCTGAGGTGCTGGGAGCCCAGGGACGGACCCGGGTCATATCTGATGCTAATGCAACCGGCTTTCTCTCTTGCCAGGCTCTGGATGGACATGAGATGGATCTGTTTTCCCCGGTCTGCTGAGGCCATCTTGACCCCTGGCTGTGCCCCCATCTGTCCATGCCCCTTTCTGGGTAGCAGCTTCCCAAAGAGACGAGCCCTCATCCGAACTCTGCTCACATTTCTGAGTCCAGCTTGGGTTCTGATGAGGCCCAGTGAGCGTCTCCTGCTGCAGCCCCAGCTCTCGGCAAATGGTAAACTCTACTTGAGGGCAACATTCAATTATGAAAATCTATTTCTCTTGCCACATTCAAAAAGTCTCCTAATGTGCCTTTGTGCACACACAAATTTAGTGACACATCACTAAATGTGTATGTGGTTGCCATGGAAATGTCTCTCTTCTAACATGGCATCCTAAGAGAAGGGAAGTTGTCTTTGTAAAGTGAAGCAGAGCAGAACTTGGCTAATTGTCATCACACTAATCCCCAAACTGTCATTCTTCCCTGACTACCTGTCTCCTACTTCCCGTCAGCGACTTAACAGTAGAATCCAAATCAGCGGGTGGGGTCTGGGTCGCTCGCATTTCCTCAGCAATTTCACGAGCACTGTTCTTAACCCTTGTGCCAGGCACGTCCCAGGAAGGAGCCCAGGCCATCTTGATTCGAGTTTTCCCCTGGAAGCGTAGAAAGTGTGCCTTCCTGCACCGCCTGGCACTCGCCACTCACGAGCTCTCAAGTCTCAGAACTCTTGGCACTGCTTCTCTGCAGAAAGTGCAGGCTGAATAGGTCTCCTGAAGGTGCTTTGTGATTTCCACCAGAGACGGTGAGCCTCCGTTTTTGTAATTGTGACAGGTCCATGATGTGACTGCAGATAGAACATGCCAATTTCAAGGCACTTTTTGAATTTCAGAAGTGCCAAATATTTTCTAATGGCGGTAGAGAGTGCGGAGAAAGGAGAAGGACCCCAGAGACCCGAGTCTGGCGGGACGCCTCTGGCCTGCCTGGCTTGCTTCGGTGGGACTCCACCTCGCTCTGCCTTTACGGCTCCTCTCGGCTTTCCTGACTCTCCCCCCTGCGGGCAGAGGAGTCCCTGTAGCTCTGAACTTGACCAGCAACCTCTGAGGGGAACCCCTGGTTCACACTGGTGGTGGAGCTGTGCTGGCCTCCCCTGGTTCAGGGCTCAGTGGATGCTTCCGAAGTTCAAGTTGTGAGTCTGTCACCAGATTCTCAGGCAGGATTCAGAGGCCAGTCCACTCGTGGGCATGTTTTCTCTTCCTGGTGTCCATCACATGTGGCCTCTGAGCTGGAGGGTCCCTGGAGGCTGAACTCTGTGCCTCTGGGGGGTCCCTCTTGTTCCCTGGAGTCCTGAAAGCCTGCTGGCAGCCCGTCTGCAGCTGCCCTGCATCTGGTGGAAGAATCTGGATATCTGATATCTGTGAACTGCGGGGCCCTGTTGCTTTCCCTACTGAGGATTCTAGGTGGTTCTGTCTTGTCTGGGGCTCCCAACAAGAATGTTGGCCACTAGCCTGGCTGAGTTGCCAAAGCTGGGCAGTGGGGTCCGAACCAACTTTGGACTCTCAAGTCTGGGGCTGGAAATGCCGAACACCCCCGTGTCCACAGCACTATATCCCTGAGGGGGTCTCCTTTTAGCAGGGGCCTGAGGAAGGTTTTTTCTGCTACAAGAAAGAGTGACCTTCTTGCTTTGACCAGTCAGGTCCTCAACATTATTTCTTTTCTTTTCTTTTTTTAAATACCTTTATTTTGTTTATTTTTATGTGGTGCTAAGGATTGAACCCAGGGCCTTGCACATGCCAGGCAAGCACTCTGCCTCTGAGCCCCAGCCCCAACCCTCAACACTATTTCTTACCCAATGTTTTTTCTCCTGTTCTCAGAGGATTGCTGTGGCCCTGGCTCAGCCTGGGCTGGGACCTTATGGAACTTACAAGATTGACAAGAACCCAAGGGAGCTCACCAGCTCTACCCAGTCAGTGCTACGTGCTCCCATGCTGAGGCCTGCTGGGGACGCACCGGCTCTGCAGGCCACCGCCGCTCCTGACCATGGCTCCAGGGTTGTTCTGAGCTTATCTCAGGGTCTGTGTTGGGAGCTCATGACCTCTCTCCAGAGAGACCAGGTCAGACGTTGCCTGCTTAACTCTGGCCTCTCCAGGCCTGAGTCTCGACCCCAGCAAGAGACACCTAACTCTGTTGGGGACAATATGGAACTTATCTTCGATATATTATGCTCTGAATTCTCTCTCCCTGCTGTTTTAGGCTTTGATAAATCTACCGAACGTGGATGTATAAGTGGCTGTTAGAGAGTTAGATGTCCCTTTTTTGCTCCTGGCTTACACAAGTAAATATCAATTTAGTCCTTATGGAAGGAAAATAAAGGAGACTTGGTTGTCTCCTTAATCCACAAACCCTATAATTCTCACCTGGAAAATCTGGCTCTCCTATTTCAAATCAGTTTTAATGGCAAAGGCTGAAGAGAGGCTTTATTGCTCTTATCTGAACTTATTTTTAAACTCGTCTCTTTACTTGTTCATTCGCTAAATAAGATCCCCCTCAAGGAGAACGAGAGGGGGTGGGCTTGGGAGGAAGTTTGGGGACAAGTGGACGGGAAGCTTGGGGTTGGAGAGATTCCCACCCAGCGGAGACCAGAATGGGGTTGGGGGTGGCCACAGCTGAATTCTAGAAGCTTCCTCCTGTCCTTTCTTCCTTCTCAGAGGGGAAGCGGATGGACTGACCCTTGCTAGAGACGTGACAGGGAGCAACTCAGCTGCCCAGAAAGACGACAGCCTGCCCAGGGGAGCTTGCCTGGCTCTTGGGTTGTTCTTTAAGCCATTCCGGGGGCCTGGGACAGTGGCTATGGGCTGCTTACGCCCCATAAGTGGAAGCTGGGCAGGGTCCTGTCCCACTTTATCCTCCTGATTTGTGAGCAGCCCTCCCAGCAGGAGGCAGAGGGCAGCCCGGCACCCTGGACCCGCACCCCTCAAAGAGACGTCTGGCCCTTCCTGTGTCCTGGTCTGTCCCGCAGGGGACACCCTCTTCTCACAGGGAAATGCCCTCCTCAGCAGAGGCTCGTGGTGCCTGGCCAGCTGCTCATTCTTTAGCCACCATCAGACCTTGTGGCCTTAAGTGGGCATTGTGGTCACCACTCTGGAGTGACCGGAGGTCACATATCAAAAAGAAATCATCACGTTCCTCATGGGGACAGATGTCTTCAGGTGTTTCCTCAGACAGGTGGGCTGTGGGGTTGAGAAAAGTCACCAAGTCCTGCTCCACCTGAGGCGTTTAGGAACATGGTCCCCCGTTAATGTGACAGTTGCCCATTAGGGGGGAAGGGAGACCCTGCTGCCTGCCCGGCGAATCCCACCTGAGCAGGGTCCGGGGAGGAGTCTGGGGACCCCGCAGGCCTAGCTGGTGGCCCTGCTGTGTCCACTGGCACCAAATGTGTTTTCTTTGTGACTGGGCGGGTCCCGGCTCCTCCCCCTCCTCCAGGTCTGACCGGCTGACCCTGACCGCCAGGCACTCCCCGAGGCTGCTCGGGGGACACTCTTCTCCCGGGGTCTGAGCAGCGGGGCCTTAGCCCTGTGTGGCCCAGCAGAGGCCTCCCTGACTGGAGGTCCAGGCCGCACCAGGGACCCTGCTCAGGACAGCTGCTGCCATCCTGGTGGCTGTTGGGAAACAAATGGCTTCTCCGAGTGACTCTGGGACTCGTACTGCTCACTGCCAAGGAAGTCTGCTCTGAGCAGTGCACTCGCTCCCTCCTGGGAAGTGAGACTCTGCTAATGGGCTCTCAGGTTCTGATCCAGCTGGCACCCGGCTGCTCCCACCCCCAGGCTGGACGGCCCCCAGCACCTACTCGGGCACGGGGCTGAGCTGCTGGCAGCTCGTGGCCCACGGCTGCTCTGCCAAGACCGCGCCCGCTGCCTGCCTCCAGCCTCGTCACCCTTTCCCCTGCCCTGGCGGGCCTTGTCACGAGGCTGTTCCTCTGACCCAGAGCCGGGGCCACCCACCGGCCTGCAGCGGAAGTCACTTAGCCACAGCCTCAGTCTCTTTTCCTGCACAGTGGGTGACAGCAGGACCCTTGGGGTTGGTGTTTACACAGAATGCCTGGCACATAGTGGGCGTTTAATAAAGGTCAGTTTCTGTGGTCACTCGGTGTTGGATTCTTGGTGAATGTTTCCCGATGCTGCTGGTCATAACCTGGCTCCCCCAGGGGCCCTCGTAGGGAAACGTTCTGCACTGTGACATGACTACTGCGGACCCCTCACAAATTCCTCCTAAGTGGCTGGACTGTCACCCCACTCCGGATGGCAGCTCCACAGACTCTTGGTTTTTCTGAGCCCTCTTGGACCCTACAGGTGAGAGGGTCCTGGGCAAGGGGCTGTGTCAGGGAGGGTGTGGACCTTAATATCTCCTTCCCCAGAATCAGGCTCCTGTGGCTCAGCCGTGGCTTCTCCCATGTCCGGCCTCTCCTCTCCCAGGGGACTTTTGTCAGTGTTTGGAGATATTTGGGTTGTCACAATGGGAGATGCCATTGGCATCTAGAGGGTGGGCGCTGGTAACACTGCTCAACACCAGACTCTGCAAAGTCCAGACTGTCCTTAGCACCACACTGGAGAGCCCCCGATCTGTTCCTGGCTGGGCAGTGAGATAAGTCTGGGACTTCCTGGGTTATAGGAGCAGCATTATCCAGACAGGTAGCCCTTTGTATCCTCCAGCCAGGAACCCAGAGTCACTTATCTCCATTAACCCCCCTGAGCCTTAATTTCCAGTTCATATACACAGCAATACTGGGGGTCACCTTTACAGATGAGGACTTAGCAAAGGCTTGATGTCTTGTAGAGACTGTTGTCTTAGTGGACCCCAGGCGCCTGACTCATTGCAGAGGGTAAGGCTGTGTGAAAGGAAAGCAGACCTGACTTTATTTGGGAGCAAGTATGAGCTGCTGTCTGGATCCAGACTCTGGAGGAAAGGCCGTCCCACAGAGCACACCACTAATGGTCCTTTCTGTTCGCGTAGCAAGCTTTTGCTCTATCTGTTGGTGGCTTTCCTGGAATGGCTGCGTTTTTGTCAGATGCCGTGGAACGTAGTCCGCTCACATCGAACCTGTACATTTTCCGTGTTTCCAAAGTGCTGTGGAGTTCTCCGGCACACATGCTGTCTGTCCTCTGAGAATCAAAGTGGCTTGAAACAAAGTGAGCCTCGTTGGTCCGAAATAAACCATCTTGTGAGCTGGGCTATTTTTAAACTAAGGCAAAACTTAGAACACAGCTCCGACTGAGTGCTCCAGCCTGCTTCGTCCCCAGAGATCCTGGAGGAAGGAGTTAATGTCCTGCGTGATCCTGGGCAAGTCCTCTTCACTTCTCTGGGTTTAGGTCCCTTGCCGCGGCAGCCTCTGCAGCCCCTCTCTGGGTCCCCTCGATCTTGGGAAGGAGGCTCCTGTCGAAGAGGCTGCTCTCCCAGGGTTAAAATCAGCCCTTCCAGACGGTGTGGGCGAGCTGAAGAAGTGACCCTCTCTCCTCGCCTCTGCAATTACGCATCTCGAATCTCGGATGCTCTTGAAATGCCAAATGACTAGTTTAGTTACCGGGAAACCGGCCGACACTTGTAGTTTAAATCTCTTTTCTTGGCTCCAAGGGAGTGAGCTGAGTTTGACACATACAAATGGAAAACTGTTCTCTGGATCTTTCCTCTGGCCCTTGGGGACAGGAGGTGATCAATGTGTGGGGCAGAGAGGGCTGGTTAGAGGAGCCTCTTCCGTCTGCCTCCTGGTTTCTCTCCTGGTGTGTCAGCTTCTGATCAGGGAACTGACGTCCAAGGCTGTTGGACAAAATCTCCTCCTTTTTAAAACTCTCCAGAAAATGCCAATTTCTTCCCCCCAGGGACTTGTTCCCGGGTTAATAGGAGGGCGTAAAAGAAGGAACTTTGGTCCCCAAACCTCAATTTCTCCGATTATAGTTGGATTTAAAGAAGACAGTCTTGTCCTTGAGTCCTTGAGCCTGATGGTGTGGCACCGCAGCTCCCCAGCCGGGCAGGTGGGAGGGCCACTGCACCTGGCCACTGGGTCCTCAGCAGTGGCTTCTTTTTTTTGGGGGGGGGAGGGGGTTGTTTCCCAATGGACCAGACAGTCCAAAGCTGATGGGGGTCTTGGGTTGAGATTATCATATCTTTTTCGTTTTACTTTAAAAAACATTTTTATTGACGTCACATTTGTGCAAATTTAGGGGGAATAGTACAATGATGCCACGTCTAACAATCACGTCGTGTCTTTTCAAAGATACCATTTCATAATGTGTCTTCAGGTCCATGTGACACCTTCCCCAGGGCTACTGATTTCCCAGAAGTAGCTTCACTGAAGTATTAGATGAAATTCTCCGTTTCATAGGGTCAGCCTCACATCTGGGATAAATAAGCCTGGGTGTGGGTCCCCCCTGGGGTCTCCCCTCCTGCAACCCCGTGTGTCCCTGCTGTATTCCAGGCTGTGCTAACTGCAGCAGGTCATTTGAAAGCACTGTGAGGAGCAGAGCATTGAAGACGCCTGGGTGGTCACGCCCACGCTGGCATCTGGCCGGTCAGGCAGGAGCCGAGGAGGCCAGGTGGAGAGATGACCAGTCTGGGCCTTTGCCAGGCAGAGGAGAGGCCTCAGGCCTGGGGTCCCCCAGGAGAGGGCCCTCCAGCTTCTGCTGCAGCCTGTCTGTCATCCTGCTGTCATTGGGCTGCCAGGGTCAGGTCCTGAGAGCCCTTTGGGAGGAGTAAGGGAACTTCCAGACGCAACAGACTGTCCTCACTAGTGCCTTTCCCGCTGCCCCGTCAGAGGCTGGGGAGAGTGGAGCAGGGCCAGCCTGAGGGGTGAGGTGCTTAGGTCCCAGCGAGGCTGCAGAACAAGGCCCCGGGGCTGGACGGGTGGCGCCGGCCTTGCCCAGCTTGCTAAGGTGACTCCCCGTGCGCACGGGCGATTTATGCTCTTATTTCTCTTCAGCAAGAAATAATTTCTTGCTCGTCTGCCCCCGAAAGACCCAGGGCTGACACTTGAGGTGCTGAGAATTGAGTAGCTTGTTGTACTTTGGTTCTATTTATGTCCCTTTTGGGGGCTTGGGCCGCCTGTTGACAGACACACAAAAAAGAGATTGATGCAGTCAGAGCCGTGGAAGAGCAGGAAGGCAGGCGGGGGCGGCGGGGGGGGGGGTGTGTGCCCGTGTCGCCCCCGTTCCCCCAGGGGCCTTGTACCAGTTATCACTGGCTGCCGCCGCCTTTTATCTGCCACCTGCACTGGAAGGACAGCACCCACGTAACTTGTCCCTGCCACGGTCCAGGAAAATAAGCTCCAGCCACCACCAGCCGTGGGATGAAAGCAAGTGGTTGAACGTATACAGCCTGCCCTGGCGGCAGGGCCCACCCCTCTAGGGGCATCACGTCCCTGCCCCTGGCGACCTCTGACTTTCCCGCCCCCGCCTCGGATGGTCTGCAGAGGGGACCATATCCCCTGCGCCCAGGAGCACCTGGCCCCACTCTGGGTGGCCTCGCAGATGTTAGTAATCCAAAGCCAAGACTCGGTGATGCGGGTGGCCGGTCCCATCTGCTGCTCATCGTCTCCGTGGAGCTGGGGGACAGGGATGGTCACTCTGTTTTTACTGTCGAGGACCGAGGCTCAGGGACGTTATACAACAGTGGCAGAGCCAGGATGTGACCTGCAGAGGGACCCTGGGATGGCCCCATGAGGGTGAAGAGGGGCTTGGGGCTCCACCAGGGAGGGAAGGGAGTGGCCCAGGGGAGGACATGGCTGCTGCTCCTTCAAACTCCTACTAAAATTCTGTGTCTCCCCTGAGGCTCCTCCGGCCGGCTCAGCCTCTCCTGGAGGCTTTTTTTCATTCTCTCCTTTGATCTTTAAAGCAGGAAGTTGACTTCTCTCCAGATGAGGAGGCTGAGGCTCAAGGGACTGCCTTGTCCAAGCTGTTTTGTGAATGGCCTCCACCCCCACCCCCACCCCCTTGCCAGTGATCTCTGCAACCCCTAAGTCCCAGGCTGCTGTGGAGTGGACGGGTCCTGGGCTGTGGCCCGGAGTAGCCAAGGCTCATGTGCTCATTCCCGGCTTGGCCCAGGCCCCTGGCCCTGCCAGCACTTCTCATGCCCCTGGGTCACTCCCAGTCTCCACACGCACATTCCATCAAGTTGACTCCACAGAGAGCCTGTCCTGCCTGGGACAGGCTGGGTTATCTGCAGCCTGCATCTTTCAGCCAGCAGCATAAACAATGCTGGCTCGGCCAGGCTTTTCCCAGCAGGCAGGCCCCTCGTTGTGCCTGAGCCCACTGCCCAGGGCAGAGGCATCAGGAAGAGCGGAGGCCCCTGCAGGGCTGGGCTGAGGCCGCTGTCTCCCAGCGCCTGGTGGAGGGGCCTGCCTGTGAGGTCACCCACTTACCTGGGCTCTGCCCATTTTAAGCACAAGTGGATCCAGCCGGGGACTTGGGTAGGAGGAGGTCCGGAATTGGTTCATCTTGTTGCTGAGCCAGAGACAAGGGCAGTCTCCAAAGTCAGGGCTTCTCCACTCCAGAAGGTTTGCCTCCCGGGCCACCTCCCGGGCCACCTCCCCTGGCCCACTGGAGCCAGCATAGCTCCTGGCCCTACTCCTGCAGCACCCTGGCTCTGCCCTCCCCTCACCTTGGACCTTGAACTATGTCTCACTGCTGATCTGCTGGGAGCTTCCGGTGTGACTCTGGGGCCAGTTTTCCACATGAAGCTTCACTCCATAAAAAGCGCAGGGCTGGATGGTCTCTCTCAGACCTCCAGAGGCAGAGGACACCTGGCATGCCCTTCTCTCCAGGAACCAAGCGGGCCTGGGAGCACCTGCAGCAGGACTCTTAGAGATCCTAAATCTAAGGGGAGAATGTGAGGCCCCAAATATAATTTGGAAGAAATCTTTACTTTTTAAATGGCAGAAGTCACATGCTGTACATCAATGTAGCTTCCTTCTGACTTCTGATTGCACGGTTCTGGGTGAGTCCGTTTGATGCTGTGTCTCCTGGGATCCTGCCTTACTGGATCCTGTTGGATACACTCTGTGATATGCTAGAGCTGACTCCGGAGAGCTAGGAATTTTGTGAGCTGATTGTTAAAAAACAATCATTATTTAAAAACCAATTACATCAATTTACCATTCAGTAAATTACATTAAAAACAAGGGTAGTCAATATTCAAAACTCACCCCTTCCTAATTGTTTTGGTACATTTAGAATGTATCTGTACACACAGATTGCTGTGGATATGCTGTGGTGCACCACTGCATACACTGGTTGTGTTCAGTGACATCGTGTTGGTAGCTAGAATTGGGCTGTGCTGGGAATATTTACACCACAGAAATTGGCAAACACTATAAATCCAGATTTGATGTTTGGTTTTGATAATGGTCCAGACTTAAAAAGCAATGGATAAGCTAGGCAAGGTGGTACACACCTATAATCCCAGTGGCTCAGGAAGTTCAGGCAGGAAGATCACAAATTCAAAGCCAGCCTCAGCAAAAGCGAGGCGCTAAGCAACTGTGAGACCCTGTCTCTAAATAAAAAATACAAACTAGGGCCAGGGATGTGGCTTGGTGGTCAAGTGCCCCTGTGTTCAATCCCTGGTACCGCCCCCCCCCCCAAAAAAAAAGAAATGGATAAAATTTTGATAAAAATATATCATGTACATAGCACAAAATAATTGAAAAAAGATTCTTCTGGTGTTCAAAAACTACTATCTTAAAGAAGTGCTTACATCGCTGACAAGCAGATGAAGTTGTGGCTGGTTTTGTTATTTCATTTTGGTCTTACTCATTACAGTAAGTGAAAGTATCAACCTGTGTCCATCCCCGCGTCCCCTGTCTTGGATTACCTGTGCCTTTGCTTCTGGCTGTGACCTCAAACCATTGTGCCCTGGTCCCCTTGCATTCATTGTCATTTATTTAGCCAAATACACATTCAGTGAGTGCCATGTGCCACGCTCCCAGGACAGGGCAATGAGCAACACAGACACGAATTCAAATTCTGTCCTAGTGGAGAGAGTGGGACAAAAAACACAATAAATATGTCACCTCCACGTGCTTATTTGCAACCTGTCACCTCTCTTCTTAGAGGCACAAATGACTCCTCTGTGTCACGATCCCCCCCAACCTAGAATAAGCTGCTGTCTCCACCCCGGTCCCATCGTCCAACCTCACACTGATGGGGACGAGTCTCAGCTTGAGGGCCGGGTCTGGGCAGAATCTGTGTGACTGGCAGGAACTTGAAAGGATGTTGGGGTGAATATCCAGGGTGCCCCGGGGAAGGAGACCAGTAAGAGGGCAGCAGAACCCATTATGTCTGGGAAGGGGGGGCACCCGCTGCCCCTCGAAAGCTATGTTGGTGGCTCTCCGTCTGTGTGGGGGGTTGAAGGAGGTTGGAGACGAGCCCCCCACATCCGAAAGAAGCTTAAAAACAAGTTTAATGGAAGAAACCCTGCGGGGTTGCCTGCTCGCCCTCTTACCCGCGAGGGCCGCTGCGAGCTCCGGCTCTGGCCTCTGTCAAGCCCCGTGACCTGCGTCTCTCCCCTAGAGGAATTTTCAGACTTGCCGGGTGGTTTATGATCCACATGGCTAGCCAGGGTTCGAATGTTCCGGAAGCCTTCCTGTCTCCCTGGAATCTTGGGGCCCCACAGGGAGCTCTGCCCCCCTTTCTGTGTTCTCCTGTTTTGCAGTTTGTGATCACTGTGTGTATGGGTGATGGACGTCTGTCCGGAATGTCAGCCCAGGAGGGCAGGGACCCACCTCTGTCTTGTGCACAGGGCCTGGCACGAGGAAGCCCCAGGAAAGACTTGTGGAATAAGTCAATAAAATCAGGGGTGAGCCTGGGGAGTGGGGCGGTGAGTGGGGAGGGCAGGTCTCAGGGCATTGGAGGAAGAGGCCGTCACCAGGAGGAGGCAGCCTTCTTCTTTGGCATCCAGCAGGTAAAGCCAAACCCCTTTGCATTTGTCCAGGCCCAGCCCAGGCATGGCCTCCAGGGTGCTGCCTTCTGTCCCCCCTTCTGACCCTCCTCTATAGAGAGGCCTCTGCAGTAGAGCTTTCATGTGAGTCTCAACATTGTCTTGGGTCACAGACTCCCGTCTCCCTGTCACTTAGCACAGGCGCGCTCACACAGGCACGCGAGTAAGCACGCACCTCGTTTAGGTTTCAAGCAGTTCACGGCTCCCTGAAGCCCACCCGTCAACTCCAAGTCAAGAACCCTGATTTAACAAATGATCCCACCGGGCTGGGGCTGGGGCTCAGCGGTAGCGCGCTCGCCTGGCATGCGCGCGGCCCGGGTTCGATCCTCAGCACCACATACAAACAAAGATGTTGTGTCCACCGAAAACTTAAAAATAAATAAATAAATAAAATATTAAAAAAAAAAGGAATGTAATTGAGTCCGGTGGCTGATTGGGTGGTTCTTGGATCTTCTTCAAACCCCCAGAAAGGGGTGATCAAGGGCCTCTGCTCCCTCAGAGAACTAGGTTACGCCTCCAGCTCTGCAGCAAGGGACCCAGCCAGGCAGCCCATTGTCCTCGCCACCTCCAGGGTCAGCGATCAGCACCCCTTGTCGGGGCCCATGTCCTGCTCCTTACTGCCCACTCCTACGTCCCCTCAGAAGGTGGCAGATCCTGAGCTTTTAGTTTTCAACTCTGAAAGCTTCATTTTCTTTTTTGCTTCTATTTTAATCCCTGTTTTTCACGCTAGGGCATTTAACAGTGTTGATTTTTTTGATACCAGAATTGTTCAGAACCATTGGGGGGAAACAACCTACAGTACCAGAATTTGCTTGGAAAACAGTTGTCAAGGAAATAGAATTTGCAAAACATTTCCTCCCGGGAGAGTTCTCTTTCCACGTATCCCCGCGTTGAGCCTTGTTCTCCTGTGTGGTCGAGGTAGGCGCAGCTACCATTGGCAGGTCATTTGTCTCGCCAACAGCTAATTAGGAATTAAGGCCCTGGCTGGCATTTTTTACGGCTTGGCCGCCGATGGTGGTCCAAGTTCAAGGGCAGTGCATGGGACCTCTGAACTGTTCCTGGGCATACAGGGGTGATTTCTTGGCCCTGGCTACGGATAAGGGAAGGAATGGGATTCTGGAAACGGGATCAGCCCGGAGGTACCTGATACACGGAACTGAGATCACAAACACATCTTTCAGTCCCAAGAAAAGGTAAAGGCTCTCGGGGCAGGGGCAGCGTGACCCAAGGCCCTCACCTGAGGAGACACTGACCTCGTGATTGGACGAGCTGGCCACCCAGACTCCAGCCAGTGCTTCTCAAGAGAATCTGTGATGTAGACAACGCCGTGGAGCATGCGGATGGCTCAGCTGTGAGAGGCCCTCGGGGCAAGGCTGGGGCTTTGTGTCATCTGTGAGAACTTAGTCAAGGAAGTGCTGGCCCTGTGAGAGCTCCGGCCACTGACCCTGGAAGGTGGTTAGTTACAGACCTCTCCACTCCCTCCCGTGAAGGTGCAGGGCCCACGGGGGGACAGTGGGAGAGTGGCTGTGGAAGGCACAGAGATGGCCCCGTCTCCCCATGATCCCCCTCTGTGTTGGGATCTATTGTGTTTTCGGTCATTTTTAATTATAAAAGCTATTACTATGGAATGGATTATCAATGTGATTCATTCGTGTTGCCTAGTAACATCTTTTTATGTCCAAGACACACATGTTTCTGTAGCACGGGCGCAAGAAGTAACCTCCCTCTCTCCCAGCCATGGTGCAAAAATCCGGAAAGCCCAGCCAGTGGGGTGAAGAACGGACCCGGTTTGGTACCAGCCTAAGTCTTCAATAAGGCTTGGTTTTAACCGATGTCCTTCTTGGCTAGATGCCCATCCCCAGTAGCGACGCAGAAGAACTCTTGGAAATGGCGAGCCGCACTCTGCAGTCCCTTGGGATGACATTCTGTCCCATTATGGACCAGTCTCGACCGGGGGGCCCTTTCTGCATACCCCTGCCGCCTGTGAGAGATTGTGAATCTGTAGGTTTTTGACAATTTCCAACCCAAGAAATGATGGCTGACGGAGAAAGTGGGGCATTAGCTGGATATTGCAGGTACAGTCTGTTGGCACCGCTGTGAAGCCAGGTTATCGCCTTCATCCTGCTGATTTTGAAAATGCCCCATTAAGGAAGAAATGGCGGCAGAGTTATCACCAGAAGTACTCAAAATCATTCCCTTTAAAGGTCACACCGGTGGAATTTTCAGATAATTCCTGGCATTGCTGTTTGATTTTTTTAAAGTGGAGAAACAGCTGCTCCAACCCTGCGGGGAGGTCATCGGCTGGGCTTCCGCTCTCCAGAATGTCTGCGACCCCACCAGAGGGGTCATCGCTTACAGGTGATTACAGCCCGCATTGTTCCCCTACACTCTTGAGATGGACTGATTGGCATATTTAAATCTCATCTCCCAGGCATTTGCTAATTATCATAGCCTGGATGAGGGGGGAAAAAGCACCCTAATCAAATGGCTGTTAGAGATGCTTCACATTTTAAGCGTTTGCTGGCTTCATGGGAAGAGAGGAAATGGGCCTCTGATTTTTCTCTGGTTCTTTCTCTGACCTCAAGAGGGTTTAAACTTTTCATGGTTTAAATAGCCACAGCTCCTCCTCTCTCTCGGGAAACATTTTCGCATCTACATTCTTCATCATTTTGCATCTC